ATTTACATTGACTGCAATATCACAATTAAAGTATGGAAATTCATTTGTTTACAAATAGAGACATCTATAAGAAGATGGATAAAGATTACTAACTGATCCCTTTGAAATAAGATCAAAGATTTGGTAAAGAAAAAAGACCTGAATCTAGAAATCCTAAAGGTCAAAGCCTATAGAACCAACAGATTCAACAATCAAGTAGACTTACTTGCCAAACAGGCCAGGTGAGAGAACCCAATAACTTGGTATTAGCTACCAGAGCTAGAAAGAGTTCTCATGATAGTAGCATAGGGAGAATACACAATAGAAATTGGTATTAGAGATTTCATTAAAATATTCAATAAGAAAAAGATTAGATTAGACTGGACAACACAAAAATAAATTCAGGATCTTTGGATCTAAAATAATAAAATTATAAACTGGTCAACCTTTTGGAACCAGTTCAATTTAACCAATACCTTTGATATTTCTTTCAAAATCAATAAAGACAAAAGTTTCCTAACTAACTTAACTCACAATGAACTTCTAATTCTATAAATACTTAAGAAGAGAAAACCAGAAGTATATATCACAACTACTTTTCCAGCATATGAACTTCAAGAAGAAACACTAGAATATCTTTTTGAATGTTTAATCACTAAGGAAACTTAAAAGAACGTATGGCAGAAGGCAAATGAAAAGATCAATAAACTCATTGGTAAAAAAATTAAATATAAGTAAGAAGTTTAATCTAAAATAAGTAACTAGATAGACAAATGGTTAGAAGAGATCCAGGAATTTGACAGGGGCCTTTTCAATACTATCTATGAATATATGAAAAAAAGCAAGATCATCTCCTTGAAGAAATATCTCAAAAAGCAACTCAAGATCCTACCAGCAAATATATAGGATATAATCGGTAAACTCTATCAAAAGATGAGAGCAAATTTTAAAAAGGAGTTCTGGAATATGTGTTGTGTCAAAGTTATAAAATAGGAAAAGAAGTAAAATATTATAGAAAAGGATAAAAGAAACAAAAGGCCCAAGCTTAGACTTGATAAACAGACCAAACAGTATCAAAAAGAATTGCAATTATCTCCAGAGGATTCGAACCTGAAGAACATCAAAAAAATAAAAGAAAAGAAGTATATAGTGATTATTAAGAATTGAGTTTGTTATAGAATAAAGTGATTTGGTTTTTAATTGTAAACAGAACTTAGAATAATCTATAGTAATGATCTATAAGCAATAATTTTATTAATTAAAGGAATTATTCAAATTAGTAAAGAAGTGAAATATTATTCCCTAGGTTGCATTTAGAGAAATAGCTTTTCGATAATAAGTGAGTCAGTATGTGAAAGTCACAACAATTTGTAAATACCTAGCATATATACAATAAAGACATGTTATGTTGACCTAATTTTTTTTTTTTTAAACCCTTAGTCAGGCTAGTATAGTACGTTTATTAATCTTAAATAACAAAACCACATGTGATACATTGGGCAAATATATCTTGACTAAACTAAATCTTATGCTAACTCACTTGTCACTTTCAAATCTCAAATTAGTTTCAAGCCTCTAAGTGTGACCTTGGAGACAATATTTCGCTTTAAAATTAGTTTTAGGTAAAGATCCTCCTAGCTTTTCCATCATTGCCAGCAGGTTGTCACTACCGATTATTCTCCAAGGAACTGATTTTTAGAAACTACAATAAGGGAAAGGAAAAATAAAAGGAAGGGGAATATCTAAAAATACACAAATGTACGTATATGAAAAGAAAAAGAAAAAGGAAAAACAAAAATGTTTCATGTCTTCCAAAGGACCTTTATTAGAAGACATCATCTTATTAGGAAACAACTCTTCTAGGATATTCTTTTTCTTTCTGACTATCTGAAGAACTTATCCATTTGTGACCTTGATTATTTTCTTGTGACTGTCTGAGATACTTATCGCCTACTCGAATCCAGCTTCTTGTTTGTCACTTTCTTTTTTTCAATATTGATTTTTTATTCACTCATGTAGACCTTAATGGCTTATAGTGGACTCCAGGTTCTTATATAATCTTTTAATCATATTGTGTAACTACCAGTATCTTCCAGTAGCCATGCCTAGTTAAAGAAATTTTACTGATGTATATTTTTCATTGCTCAAAATAGTCATTCCCCAAAGATTTTTTTGCTTCACAATGGTTGGGAGGGTACCAGAAGAGTAGTGGGAATCCTCGTCGATTATGATATCATTACACAATGTCTGGAGAAATGCATTCTCAATTCTAGAGAAGGGTAGTGACTTGTAGTCTTCTACTTTTTGGTCTTATCACTTGACTGGGATAAGGAAATAATCTTTTTCGCGTACTTTGTCTGACTGGGATAATAGAAAGTTGAAGACCTCAGTTTGAACAAATAACCACCTTTTCACCACTTAGGAAATTTAGTACCTATCCTAATGGTCTCATAGTCTTTTTGTTTCAGTTACACTTTATTTGGAGGAGTGGAGGATTGCACATCAATTCATTCTCTTTTATTTTATCAATGAAATCATCAGAATATGTGAATATGACCTATAGAACCTTTCTACCAATGTGTTTCATATCAACCAATCAGAAGTCAGATGATATTGTGTTACCAAAAATTCAGGGTCAAGTTGGGGTAGATAAAATTCCCCAAAAAACTGTGAAAAAACAATAGACACTCTAAGAGGGCAAGAGATAGTATATGAGAAGGTGGATAATAAGTATTTCCCTGTCGAAAAAACCTCTGTCTTCATATTATATCTAGCTTTAAAAGAAAACACTCAATAAGTTGGTCCTTTTACTTCCTAGAATCTTCTTGCCATTAGTAAAGGAAGTATGTGTTTGAGTCTATTCAGGTCACCAGAGGCTCAAGTTTTTAGTCAAAAGAGTTTGTAAACAAGTAAGGGGGGGCAATAATAACTTGTGAAAACAAGCTTCAAGTTGTTTTAAAGAAAGTGGAAAGACTTTATTAATCAATAAGAATAAAATCTTCTTGCAAACATCTTTTTTGTGTGTGGTCAGAGGATCAGTAGAAAGAGTTTTCCATGCTATACTGACCTAATTTGTGAGTTAATATATATATATATATGAATTTTATAATTTTTGATTATATAATTATGAATTTAAAATTGTCAAAGTTGAAATTTATAATCAAAATATAGTAAGTGGACTCAAACTTTTGAAAGTAACTGTATATAGTTGCTTCAAATGTTTGAATTTACTTACTTTATTTTGATTATAAATTTCAACTTTAATAATTTTTAAATCTTTAATTATGTAATCAAAAAATTATATATATTATATTTTAATACTTATTTTATTTTTTATATATTTTTAGAAAAAATTTTTATAGTTTTATTTTTGTTAAATATTTTTATTTTATTAATTATTATATGATTTACAATAATAACCAATCAAATAATCCAAAAATAAAAATTTTATAAAGAAAAAAAAATTTTTTTTAACAACAATAAAATTTTAAAAATTGCATATAAAAATTTTTTTGAAAAAAATATAATAAATAGAACCAGTATTAAGATATAATATATGTGAATTTTATAATTTTTGATTGTATAATCAAGGATTTAAAAATTGATAAAGTTAAAATTTATAGTAAGTGGACTCAAACTTTTGGAAGCAACTGTATATACAGTAGATAGAAATTTTAATAATTTAATTGTTATTAAAAATAATACTTGATAATTAAAAATATTTAATAATATTTAATAACCAAAAAATAATTTTTTAAGACTATATATAAATTGTTGAGCTCGCGCAGGCGAAACAACAAATAAATAAACAAATTAATAAATAAAATAAATTATAAAATTTTTAAAGTGTAAAACAAACAACTACACGATCTTTTATCGTTTTACCATAAAAGATTGTCGGGCGTTACTATGGTGAGATTTTTATTATATAACTTTATAACGTAATACTCTCGTTTTCACATGAGGACCGAAGATTTTAACTTGGTGATTATTAATCAACGAATAATTTTACGCAGAAACCATCACATCCATTCTCCTTTTTTAGCTTTACCATCTCGCAATAAAATTATATCACGTTTTTTTTTTTGGATACCGCAGTTGATCATATGCACCACTTTATCCCAATCCAACGGTCATTAAAAATTGAAGTCTATCCAACATATTGATTTCTAAAGAAAAGAAATTTTTTTTAAGCTAGTCAATGCAACTAAATGCTAGTAATGATGAAATTTATATGTTCAAAGAAATAATCGAATCAATTATTAAATATAATTAGCAATACTTTGGAACATTGTTCGGAGAATCGCTTAGCTTCTATATTAAACATGCAAGATGTTAATCTTTTAGTTGTAAATCCTTTAAGCATTAATATCTGGAATTTTCAGGTTAAGCCTACCACGAGCAAACTTCTGGCCGCCCATATATATATATAATGTACAGAAGGTATTTCTAATTCATCACCTTCATTTGAATAATAGTAATAAAAAAATCAAACATGAAAATAAAAATAAAACACCCTTTATTTTTAATTTATGTACAATTTTCAAACGATTTTATGAAAAAGGGTATCACTTCACATTCCCTCTGAACACTATATCATATTACACCTCTTCTCATAACGGTAAGGAATTCGATAATTTCAGGCATTATAAAATCTATGTTCGTTAATCATTAAATTCTAGGGGATTTTTTGTTCTTTTAGTACTCATTAAATGAAAATGAATTTTTTCTATATTTTAAATTATTCAAGTAGCTAATAAGAAATTTCTTTATAGTACTCGGTTATAAAGAAATTAAAGTAGAAATTTGGAATTAAAAAAAAGATTTTGTACAAGAAAACCTTGACTGGTTTCATTGAAAATATTTCCAGATTATGAATTATAGAAGTGATATCTGATATTAAGTATTTTTTTTCCAGCCATTCAAAATTCATGCGATATCCCGAATGGTAAAGACTCACTTCTTTATTGAATAACCCGTAGGACTTAGATTGATATCTTGTTTTTTCGGGGTGCATTTCTTCAGCCGTCTGATTCTTCCGCATCGTCTATATTGCCATCATTGCTGACTATATCAATAGGAAATATTTTGAGATCTCCAATTTGACGCCCTTCCCATGGCCCTGATATTATTTTCAATATGTCAGGATACTAAAATAAAAATAATAACATTAAAATCAAAATAAAAAAATGTTTAAAGTACCGAGCATAATGAATAATACCTTAATAAAGTGCAGTTCCCACTTATCAAATTGTGATCTTCGCTTTGTTTGAATGTTTTCAAATAAATGATTTTCCGGCACCGGATCCCTCCAAAGTTCTTTGTTTAGCAATGGCCACAACATACGCTTCTCATCAAACGTAACCTTCCTTCGAGCTATATTCTGATTTATCTTTTTGGCTAAAGACCCACGATCCCACACAAGGTACTTCTCGATTTGAATATCAATAACGAATCGTGCATCCTCATTGCCCGTATAAGGGACCAGTGGGTATCCTTCGATTTTAGGATCAAATTGAAAAGCATATATAGGTCCGGCCTTTAAAACTGGTGTTTTTGGTTGAGATTCTTCAGTATCTGATAGTGATGAACATGAAAAATCACCATCACTTTCCTGATATATTGGTTCAAGATCGGTGTCTGTTTCCATGTTACATATCGATTCGCAGGGGGAGCTCTTTTTTTCCGACTCAACGCTGAATGCTTTTGATTGAACTGCTGGTACATCAATGTTCACAGATCCTATTTCTTTTTTTGAATCATCGCAGGGCTCTGGTGTGCTTTTGGATACGGATTGCATTTCATTATTTTTCTCAAGTCTGGATTCCGATTTTGTTATGACATTATTGGATAAGTACTTTTCAGAATCAACACCGAGGGCCTGACAGATCAATTGTATAATATGCCTTCGACCTCGAGCCATGTCTAAGGGAGTTTTACCATCCTCATTTTTAATCTCAAGTGCAGTGTTGTGCTCTAATAACAATTTAATCACTTCACCATGTCCATAAAATGAGGCATAATGAAGAGGAGTGTTTCCATATTTATCTTGAGCATTGATATTAGCTTGGTAGGCAAGTAAAAAGCTTATGATCTCATGATGCCCTTCTATTGAAGCTTCATGCAAAGATGTCCTTTTACTTGGCTTATCCGGAAGGTTGATTATAGATGGATCCATTTCTAATATACCGACTACTGCTTCAGCATGACCTAACTTCGAGTAATGATGTAGCCTACTACGACCAGTTTTTGAGTCGATCGAGAGATCGAGTCTCAAGACTTCATTCGACGACGTTATTCCTCTAGCACCGTTGTTCCTCAGGCTATCATTGCATCTGCTTCTATCACTTGGCCTACCGCTCATTTTAGTTGAGCGCGTCGGACGTCCCGAGTGACTGGGTATAGACTTCCGATGCAGGATTTTGCCTGTTTGCAGATAATTTTTAAATTGGCATATACTTAATATGAAAATTATAACTTAATGAGAAAAGTTGAGAAATCAATAGGGACAGCAAGAAATGGAGGTACAGCTTATTACCTGTTTCTCCGGATGGAATTCTTCTAAATTCCTCAGAAACTTTAGCTTCAGTATTCTTTTGAATTATCAATGAATTTGGTTCCTTGACTTTGCTAGCTGATTTTAGAAGCGATAAAATTTCGGGCTCATCCGCAGCCAGCATTTTCGGCGTCATTCCACTTAAATTCGTTTTTTCAGGATCTCCACCATAATCAATCAAGATAGAAATTATCTCCTCGTGCATTATGTTTACGGCATCATGAAGCGGCGTGTCTACCGCATCAGATTCTCCTATGTTTGGATTGGCACCGGCTTCTAGCAGGTATTTTACGACTTCATAATTTTGTGAATTCACGGCTTCATGCAAGGGCGTCAATCCCGCATTATCACGAACGTTAACATCAGCACCTCCGCCAATTAACGCTTTAACCATGTCTAGGTTTTCCTCCGAACACGACTGACATGCCCGGTGTAAATTTGTCTGTCCAGCATTATCTTTAGCAAACACATCATTTTCTTCTATTATCGTTAGTTTTCCCGAATTTCTTCTATGAATAATTTGAGAGTCGTAATCCTTTCCGTAACCATTATCAATATCATGTTGTATCGGAGTTCGATTCTTGATGCCAGCTGGTCTCCCTCGTTTTCTTGCGGGTTGGATGGGAATAGATTGTTTCGTTGAAGGCTTCGTCTGCCTCTTAGATCTCGTGGGGCTACCTGGGGGCAAGTATTCGTCATCATCATCATCGCCGTCCTCATCACTAACACTCATGAGAATTTGTTTTTTCGGAGGCCTACCGGGTTTTCTATGCTTTCTTAGAGTAGTTCTATTATTGTTTTTTGAATTGACATAACTCGACTTTACTTTTTTCTTTTTCTTTGATTCCCCGCCGCTTGATGAACCAGGGTTTGAACCCACAGAACTCGTTTGAGAATCTTCACCAATGTCATTATTGTAATCTTCCGAAGAGGAAATTGATCTTGCTCTCTTTTTTATTGGTGTGGTGGACCTTGTGCTTACTTCCAATTCAGATTCATTGTCACCCCTGATCGTTGTCCAGTCGGTGTCGGTTTCGGAATCCATAAATCACAAAGTTGACGTCTCCGACGATGTGAGGGCCCAAATAAGTGTGGAACTTGAAGAAAAAAAAATTTTCAAAGAGAGAAATGAACGGAAAAACAAATATTTTGTAAACAATATTAGAATCGAATGACCATACGTAGGTAATATTTTTGACTAAATATGGGGAATAAATAGATAAGCCTCGATTTCCCAGCAGATATATAAGCCCCTAAAAAATACCTTTCGTTGGATTGACACAACGCTTGTTCTTCTGGTGGAAGGATGTAAAAAAAAAAAAAAATAACAATAATAATTTTGAGAAAAAAAAAAAGGCGCCTGAAAAGGTTGATAAACAAACGAATGTAAAAATCCGGGTCAGTGTTACGAGTATGTGTTACTTGTACGACGGATGTACATCAGCCAAAATTTTGTATCATATCATTGGATGATTTCATGCATTCATTCCTGTGTGCATCTGTGTATCTATTGAAAACCATAAATATCTAAATTACTGCGGGTCAACCCAAGGTAAACTTTGCTAAATTTAGATAGAATATTAAAAAGTTCCACTGTCGAATTCTAAAGCTGACCACATCCTTTTTTCATTTAACTATTCAAAGAAATATGTTACGCTCCGAAAAGGTGTTCGGGACATTGGAAAATTTTGAACCGATTCACTAATGATGGAGTGTGGCAACGGTCGACCTGACGCGGAGATTGACCTGCCTCTTCGTCCAGTTATATCCCTCTTTATCCCCTTGCAGAGTTCAATCAGCGAACCGTAATTCGGGAATGAATTTCTGCATGCACCATTACGTCGTATCATGCATTTATCGGTTAAACAATGAATACCGCAGTTTATTGCATGCTTTTACGTATGCACGTAAGTCGCGGAATCTGTGCAACGTAAAGTTCTTTTACCTCATACATTACGTGTTTCGTATCGCGTTTTTGTATTATACATTCAAAGATATCGAGTAGTAAGCACGGAGTTTTAGTTCTCGGGAAGAAATGTACAAGCCTTTTTACGCGCTAGTCCTCATATAATGGGTAGGCAAGGATGCCAGAAAAGCTCCGAGGTCGATCTCTCTGAGTCGACTTGCTGGGAACTTTAATCCGACTTAGGTTTGGAGGAACCCAGTTTCAATATTGGGTATGCACTATGCGTCCTGGTAGATCATCCATCACGTGATTACAACAAAGTTTCAGATCGGCGACTTCGTGCAACAATGAATTCCTTAACATTGTGCATTGTGCGTGTTTAATTCTTTGGTTCAAAAATGGCAAAAGACTTGGCAAACAACGATCAAAATTCAAAATTAACAAATTGGGAACCTTTCACTTCACGCGAAAAATTGCAGGAATTTTTGAATTCGGATAACACTGACGCTATTCTATATCAAGGTCCGAATTGACTCAAAATTCGTCGTAGTGCATTCCTGAAGTCATTAAAACGCCGATTTTTTTATTCTCAATTAGGAATAAATAGAATTCGAAAACAACTGACAGATGAAATTAGGAAAATCAGGGCTGGGGATAGTTCAACGGATAATCGATCATCAGCGGTTTATGATTACTTAATGAGTTCTTCGGAATGTCGCGAATTATTTCAAATTTGGGATACGCAAATAACCGCGAGTACCTTATAATTACATGTCATTCGATCGAAGATGAATCATCAATAACGTATAAGATATTTTATTTAATTAGAAGGGCATAACAAAGCTCGAGACCCCCATACTGGAACTTTTCTCTAAACTCGTTCAGTACACGTCGATTATTCCACCTTTGCGATCGACCGGTACGATACTGATCCGTAGCATCCTGAAAACTTACATGAGGACGTTGGTACGAAATTTGTCGTGCGTTCGGCTACCAACCGTTCAAGCGACCCTCAAATTACTGCTCGCGATGAATTCACACGAGATCACCACCACAAGAGAATTATACGAGGAATTTCCTTTTGGATCGAATGTGCCTTAACTTTTTTAATATTATTTCATGATCGCATTTCTTTTCATTGGCCTCCCATTAGTTTCTTTTTTAACATCGTGATAAACCTTGATGGCTATTGTTAGAGTTTGATTCGATTGTTAAGCATAAGAAAAACCGACAAGGTTCCTCATCATAGCGGTAATGTGTCTTTCTTTTCTTTTCTTTTTTTTTTTTTGGTAATATCCTTATAGATTGAAAGTTAGTTTTATCGCCATTCTAATCTTTTTTTTTTTTTGAAAATCTTCTCAGACGTTCGCACATTGTACATTCGGTTTATCTTGTCATTTTTCGTGCACGGTGATGCTCAGGTTAAAACAAACGTTCTTGAAAATAAGAACTTTGCGAACTTGATATTTAAAGGATTGATCAGGGATCCGTTTGAGGTAAAATACAATAATTCGCGGTTACTGATCGTATTTAAATATACTTCTCACCTATTGATGTTCGATGTTTGTCTAGTTAGTAGACGAAGTTTTAACCAAAATATATGATTACGTGATCGCTGATAAAAATATCAACCGGACAACCAAATTATTATTTTTCAACCACACCGTATTAGGTCAGGTAAGTTTTTCGAGTGTTACCTGATCCAAATTTCCCATGACACACGGTTACTAACATGTAGCACTGATTCAAAATCATAGCTTTTACAGCTATATTCCAAGTGCAATCCGGAACCACCGGAATCAAAAAATATTATTGCGGACGTGGTTCACCGATTTCTATTATCGATATGTTGTAGTCCGGGCGTTGGAATATGTTTTCGTGATCTCGGATGGTACCCCGCAAACACTCCATCCACACCTTCACACAACACCGAAAAATCAACAATAGATAAGAAAACTCGGGTGCACAATGTTATATTGTCTTCCTTCATAAATTCTTTAAACCCCGCAGAGGATTTTAGGCAGAGAGAATTACTCTTGAGAATTTTAGAGGCCTGCCCAGAATTGGTCCAAGTGTAGGTGATTTATTCGATCTCACGACTTTCATGCGAGAATATATATTCATTGTTCCTTTATTTGTTTGTTTGTTTTAGATATTGGCAGAACACGAAATATTCCTTTGGTCCCCCCTTCCTTTCATACAAATGGTTGGCGCACATCAGTTTACTTCAAAAGATAACATCTTTACCCGTGCCCCAATTTTACAGTCTGGAGAAAACGAATATACATCCAGTAACACCGCCCAAGGTCAACACTGTTATGGAGAACATATTGCCGCGAGTTTTTGGTCGTTCAACTTTAAGCAAATGTCTCCTCAACAACAGCCCCTTGGTCAATTACGAGACGATGATAACATTGTGCATAGCGTTTCAAAAGCTGGATAAGGTTTTTCAAGCTTTCAGCAAGGTCATTGACGATTTGGAGGATCTCGATGAAGGTGCAGATAGAGCTCCGGAGGATACCAGACCGTCGTCTTTGTGGCGCGAAGCAATTTCTCAGACGTTTGAAGAAATGAAACGGAGAGTCCCTGATATTCAGGTCTTTCTCAAACATCTCAGCCGTACATTATCAGACGGTCAAAAAATTTCAACTCCCTCAATGATTGATGATGCTAACGATGAACAGATAAGAAATGTAATGTTACGGGAAGCGGTTTTGAAGATACTCAAGTATTATCATAAATACTTACCCGAGGCCGTTGCAGAGTCAAAATTCGACATAAGCAATTTTATCCCGGCCAGCCTAAGCCAAATCCATTTGGGAACACAGCTTAACCTATTGGAGTTGTTGAATGTTATTCCGGATTTCAACTTTTCAATTAAATCAGGTTAGCACTCGAAAATCAAAGCGTCTGTTTCGTTTAATATATGCAAAGAACTGGCCAAGTTAACGTGTACTCTGATTTAGAAAATAGATACTTGGCTACTTTTCTGAGTTTATACATGTGCACTCCTTATTCCCAGATTCGTTCGTCTACGGAGGGTGTTCTTGAAAATCTTCTTTCAAGGTCGATTATCTTTCAGCACGATCCGTGTGAATTATCTATTTGGCTTGAATCGCTACCGCGTATTCTGCCAGAAGACAAGAGTGTTATTGAGTTTGAGGAACAGCTTTCTGTCGTGCGGTTTCTCGACGAAAGTATTGAGATTTTTCTCAAAGACCCGTTTCCTTATATTGATGAGCTAGGCCAAATTATACTTCGTGGAGCGTCAGAAAATAGCGGCGGCGAATTGATCGAGTCTGGCGTAATGGAAGTTGATAATGACACCAACACCTTATTGCGAGAAAAATTGAGTAGAGCTCATGGTGCTTCTGGAAATCCACCTCTTCATTATCCTTTTAGTCCGCTGCTAGTCGCCTTGATTCGTCAATATCAAAAAAAAAAAGATGACCCGAACATCGTTCCATTCTTGCATACTTTACTTCGAAATCTATTGTATAAACAAACCACACCGCGCCACCTAATTATCTACATAAATAGATTGAAGGACTATGTTGACATCGGTGATTCAAAGAATCCTCGCAGGAAAGGGCATTGGAACGTTGCGGATTATGTTGGGAACATCGATACCTTCTTCCAACACTATGCAACTTTAAAAAGGTCATGTCTTGATATAGAACCCATCGAGGATGGAGATACGACTATGCTTAATAAAGAGGAATCAAAGGCAAAAGATCTGTGTCAAACAATTCTTAAAGGTATTACCGAATTGGCACAATATCTGGAACGTCGGGATTCTTGGTGATAAGATCGCACTGAATACCTTTTCTGAAATTTTCTATAGATACAAATCCCACCATCTTGGAAACTGCCAAGATCAAATTTCTCGAGTTGATGTCGAACATACCGGTCTCCATCCTAAATCGTCATCTCATGGATTTACTAAACTATTGCAAAAATACCCTTGGATGGGTCAAATTTGAGCCAATTATAAGATACCTGAATTACAGGCTACCCAGTTGTGGTAGCCTTTTTGAACTCGAAGATGTCAAATCGATCCTGAATGAAGCTAACCCAGAGAGATCTACTAAAAATTGTGACACCAAGATGGATCTTATTGACGAAGAAAGGTATGCGTCTTCGTTTTTCTCGAAGACTCGTATTGGACATGTACTTTAATGCTTTTTGCGTGTTTCTTTAGTTCGCAGAGATTTTTAATTGGATCTTTACTTGAACTGTTTTCCTTCTCCGATCTTCTTACAAACGCTATGTTTCACATGGACAACCCGTCAATAAAAGAGATTTTACGAAAGGCCCTATCTTCTTGTCCGCCAAACCATCTCCTTCTCTCCGCTCGTCACTTAATGCTATACGTTGATTGCATCTTTAATAATCCCCTTGACGAGAATGTGTCAGCACTGAAATTTTGCTTCGACTTACTCACCGAGCTCGTTACGCGAGTGGTAAACGATTCCATAATAGAGGCAGGGTTCATATCTGATTATATCATCGAATTGGTACTTGGATGGCCTCTGTTGAGGGAATTATTCTTACTGAACACGCAGAGTGCTGTCAAGACGGTTGGTTCTTTGTTGGATTACCTAGATCAATGCGAGTATTTCAGAGATAATAATTAATCCAATTTCATCGAATATCGCGTATGTTGATATATTTGATTTTTGTTTTCTAGTTGTTTCCAATTTATTTGTCTATTTCGAAGGATGTAATTTCGACGGTGGGATTAGGAAAAGGAGAAGCTCAAAGACAGCAAAATACCTCGGCGAATTCAGGGAGATTCTTTTGAACAAAGTCTCGAACGTAATAAAGGGCATAGAATCTGGTGTCATTCCTTTGGATGCGCTCTCAGAAAATGTATTAAACATTTAATGTTATTTTCACTTAATCGAATTTGATCTCTAATAATATAATATTAATTTATAATTATCAAATTGTTTTCATAACAGATGGGGTTCACGCTTTCCGCTTTTGTCAGCGTTTTGAAGGCATCCGAGTTATCACAAATTCTGCTGCCTCTCGTGAATATGGATATAAGCAAGATTGCTGCGTGCTCGTCAGAGGAAGCCGCCATGAGTCCATACATAATCTTTTTGTCTCGTGTGTTGAGCGCGATCTCTCACTATAATTTGAGAAAAGTTATCAACGAAATCATCCTTGGAAAGCTCAATCATATTTGGCAAATTCACCCGTCCCGTGAAATGGAGAATATTCTGTTACGAGTGGTGGAGGTATGTCTTCCTCCCGGACTCGTAAAACCGATCGATTCGACAGATCTTCGGATGATGCGGTCATACTTACCGCCATCCTGGACAAAGAATTTCGATAAAGGTCTAGCGCGAGACGTGCTTGGAAACCTCAACGACACTAGATCTCGAATATTGGCAGTTCTTCTGGTAATCGATTCGGAAATTAGACTCGAGTTTGTTTCAAAGGTGCTCGAAACGCCAACATTATTGGATCCCTTGGCCATGGATGACATCTTGATGATAGTGTCCACATTCCTTAAGGTTGTCGCCATGAAGTCGGATCTAAGATTTTCTTGGTCGTCAACAGCGACACATGATGACCAACGGTTAGTTTTCTCGCTTTCTGAACAATATGGATGCCAATTCTTCCACCAAATAGCGGTATCTCAGATGTTGAAGGCGATACCTTCCGAGTTTTCCATTGCAACATGCGCGTTCTTGTGTTTGAGTCCATCTTTAAAATTAATCGGTGCCATCGAAAATTTAATGGTGAATGGATCGTCAAATAACGATATGTTTAATGTTGATTGTTTGAGCGTTTTAGATTGTTACCTTGAAAGGAACCACGGAGACGTGGATGAGTCAAATCTCAAACGTTTTCTCTCTGACCTCTTACATCAATCTACATTATTTATGGAAAATGATGTCTTCAAAAGATATGATCGTGAAATATTAGTGTCACTTTTCACTAGGATCGGTGAGCTAAAATTTATCACTATTTTGTCTTAATCGGCATGATTTCTCGGGTCCCTAAGAACTCACCATTTATTATGATGTATAGATAATTTGATCAGATTCATACCCAGGAACGTCAATTTGGATGCTAATATCATTGGTGAATTCATTTTTGTTCTCCTTGAAAAGAGGCTGGAAGAACCGATTATTTTAAAATGTGTCGCATCATTGATCTCCTCTGAATACACCAAAGAGGTAGTGATCTTTTCCTTCTTCCTTCTGTCAATTTATATGAAATATTTGTTCTCAATTCAGGTTGCGGTTTTGTTAGCATCTACTCGGTCCTCCTTTGGACAGAGTCGTGGAAGCCATCATCAATAACAGTCAATTCAAAAGTTTGACCCGTATCCCGAATATTTCTAAAGAGGCCGAATCATCAACTTTGCTAACAAGAATAACAGTGTGCAGTTTGCTCAACGCAATATTCCGCACGAGCCCTGCGGTGTGTTGTAAGAGTTCGTTTTTGAGCTCACTTCTTGCGTGCTACGGCGCCTCGACCTCCTTGGCGGACCAAATGCTCCTTGAAATCTTCATGCTGTACGAGAAATCGAACAATTCGTCAATAGGTCCTTACGCCATGATTTGGGGTTCAGGTTCTATTCGTCCGATCGACCGACGTGGTCTTATGGGACAAAAGATTGTGGTCGAATCATTGGATTTGATAGATCCCATGAAAATGATGACCAGTTATACACGCTTTCCGATTGACAAACGGTTGGAAGTAAAGGTTTCTGTCTCGGGAATTTTATCTCTTCCGGAATCGGAAAGAGTAACACGAGCAGTATATGATCCATCGTTCTTTTTGCCGATCTTCGCGAGCTTGTTTTCATATGGGAATTTGTTGGACTGCCGAAAGCTTATTGAAATTAATGCGCTAGGGTTTATAGTGGTGTCGCTGTCGTCAACCGTCGAGGATGTGAGAAAGGCTGGTTACTATTTGATGGATGAATTTTATGTTCTTTTGGAGGTGAGAAGTTGAACAAAAAAAATCTTATTTCAAAGCATTTTACCTCTTCAATGTCTTCTAAATACCTGTTTTGCCCCACAGAACGCCAATTTCCGAGAAAAGAAACAAGTGTTATTGTTGTTGAATTCCTTGAAGAATTCCATCGTCGAACGCCGCGATGGCAAGCCACCTCAACGCTTGCCAACGATAATAACTGTATTCTTTGCACATGCGCTGAACATATTTACGAATCCTGCGCATTTCATGTATCCCTTGATAAACAAATTTTTGTTGCAAAGACCTTTGATAGATTTGGAGGTAAACGACACATTCCTCACGTTTCACATGACGATTTCTTAGATCTGATTGCCTTTATTGTGCGTTTTTTCCTGACGTTTTCCCATTTATTTTACCTTTACGGCAAGGATATTCCCATGTTCTATAGTCTCTTTCATTCCTCGTCCGACAATCACCAAAAGGAAAGGGTATGGATTCTAAGGCTTTTGTCCGCCGGGCTAAAAACCGATGAAGTATGTGGTCACGCCTGCGTGTTTTGATTTTCAAAGTTAGTCTCGGGAGATTGATTAAAGTGACTCACTATACCTTGCAAAAGGATTATCGTACGTACATGCGAAGGCACGTTTGGGATATAATATCCGGGCATTATTGTTCGTCTCTCGCCGACAGTGTTTCCTGCAAGCTTGTGATCGAGGTATGCACCATCTTTCTTGCTTTCAAATGTATACCGTTAAAGGGGGGAAACGACCACACGAATAATTCCTGTCCCATCAATAAATAGATTTTGTTCAATATCGCATCAGTTTCTCATTCCATCACGGACATAATAAAAAACAGAGGGCTACTATCATGGCTACGATATTTATGTCTGGCACCGCAACCATCAAAATCTGCAAATAACTCGGCACTACTTGGATCACGAATATTGCTTCGGGCATTACGAGGATGTAGAAAGTCGGTGTTATGCGTAATGTTTAAAGAGGTCTCTCTGGTTGCAACAGGATTATTAAAAGTAGTCGGTTGGTTTCAGTTTACACCGCGGATTCTTCTTTTTATCAGTACATCCGTTCGTAATGTTGTGGCCTCACTTTCATCATCATCATCTTTTCTTTAGGAGTTCCTCTATCCGACAAGAGGGATGACGTTGTGTGGTTACTCAACTATCTCGATTCTATTCTCCGAATATTCTACCACCTGACGTTGGTTTCATCCCCATCAAAACAAATTTTTACTCCTTACCATGTTTCATGCATTCTTCAATTCCTTGAACATTGCGAATTGCTTGTGACGCCAGATGTATTGGCCGCCAACTTACCATTTCTACCAATACACATCAACCATAATCGCCGTCCCTCTCAATCGGATAGTTTGGACGAACTTTATGTGTTGGATCACGATTTTGTCAAAGTTTATAGACAGATTATCAGAATGCTGTTTGAATTGGTGGTCAACAATAATATACAGGACGCAGAACTGGTGGATAAGATAATTTCTAGGACATTTTTGTTGGGAGTTTCATCGGAGGCAAGGCAGTGGACCATTGAATGCCTTTCGATGAACCTTTCGAACTGATGAAGTATGAAGTCGGTGAATTAGAGTAGGAAAAAAAAAAAATAGACACCATGCATAAATCTCTTTAGATATGTATAGAGTGATCCAATAATAATAAATGGTTAAATAAATTCCAACTGCTGCACGGTTCTCTTGGAAATCCTTGTGGAAAGTAAAGGGCATCGCATTGGGTGTAAGATTTCCAGAACGATAATTAAATTTAAGAAGAGATGCGTAGCATATGAACAACCCAAACAATGCGATGTAAATAAACGAATCACTTTGTCAATAAAAAAAACAATCAACCATATAGAAAAGCTATGGTTTAGTTAAGTAAGATGAATCACTTTATTCAACGGACTTCTTGCAATTATTGGTTATTCTTTACAATAAATGTTTATGCGCGCGTAGCATTCGTTCAATCGTACATGGCACATTAAACTTATTTAAGATTAAAATCTCGATAGTTCATGATTATCCAATTGCCTCGCTTGATTTCTCTCTTTGGCCGCCACAAGTAGCTAGGGAAGTACTGATGATAATTATGTTTCAAACCGGATTACTTTAATGTGTCATTCATTGCGTTCTAGTCTCGGTGTAATTTCACCGAAGAATGGAAGGAACTGCCTGTCGTGCCAACGATGTCTTTTTTCTTTGTTTCATATCGCACGGTGCAAGGATATGCGTGTATATCTACTCGAATTGGACGTTACACATTATTGTATGTCCTGCGTATAGAAATTAGCTCGTCCCTCAGTGTCTTACCTTTAAGGTCATTTCGTCCAAATGAGTGAAAACAACGCACCATACAAAAAATGGTTCCAAATTCTCTTCTACACTCTTCAACAAAACCAAACAATAATCGAATTCCAGCCTGGACACGACCCGCCGAGCGGCTTTTGGGATATTATTAATCAAGATAATGTTGTCATCAGAGTTGTATCAAGTAGTTCGGTGGTCGTCGGTTACTGGTTTAAAAATGACGAAACCGAGATAATTAATCAATCGATTCAGTACATGCACACTAATTTTGAATGCGACGTTCGTATCAAGTCCGTGGACCTGGAAGAAAGGGAGAAATTCGAGGACGACACTCATTGCCTTAATGTGCAAAAAAGGAAAGAATGGGAGATGCAGAAAAAACTCCTCGATAATATTAAAGAGATTCTCCCTGGATTCCCTTACGTCTGCAAGTACGGATGGGAACCTGAATCAGAGGATGGAAAGGGTGATCTGATCCTCACAGATGGTAAAGGTATATTTGCTGTTGTAGAGACGAAAAGACTACACACAGAGAATCTCATTCCGGACAGGGCTTCCTGCCGGAGATCGAAGCAAAGAAAGAAGTATAGAAAGCATCACGTCATCGAACAAGCGGGGCGTTATAAACGGGCCTTTATCAATCAATATGAACACGTTTACGTCGACCAACATGATCGACCTTTTGACATCGTTGCGGTTGTTGCCGTGGGAATCACTGATGAGGAACACCAGAAAAGACATTGGCCCGAACTCTTTGATGAAAGGGTATTTAGAGCCATCAACCGGATGTATAACGAAACCGATTTTTCAGACCCCGAGGACAGGGGGTCATTTTATTCCGCCGCATCAAACAACTCGTCAACTTCTAGTATCAATAGTTTCTTGGGTAACGATGGCAGTTTGTAAAGTAAATCTTGTGTCCACCCTCTTTAAAATCGACCGGATACGAAAGAAGAGGTCGTAAATAATAGCTCAATATTGTAAAAATAGTAAGTCATGAACCATTATATACTGCATATTTCTGTGCTGTTATTGAAAGTCCTTTTGATGAATCCTGCTGGGCTCATTGAATAAAACCACATACACTTTGATTGCATGTACAGTACAATAAATAATATTGTTTGGCATTTAAAATTTGCATTACTTTTTTCACGTTGACGTTGTTTGTGCATGACATGCATGTTAAAAAAAAAAAAGGACACTTAGCAGTTTCTGCCTGTTTTAAATAAAATAAATAATGGTGGTGCCTGGTGCCCATAAATTTCCGCACGATGTAGTTCCCTTGGATTCCTTGTAGAAGACGAGAGATCCATAAATTTTATTGCGTAATTCAGTCGACAATCCGATTTTTTCACCATCAGGGAGATATAGTCGAGGAACCGAAGGAACTGGAAAATCATGACATCACTTTATTAAGAAATTGATTTTAAATAATGACCATCCTTCATTTTGTAGAATTTGTAGTGACATTCATCAACAAAATGATTGATTTTGATTTTGATTTTGATTTTTTTTTTTTTTTTTTTTTTTTTTTTTTATTACAAAAATCTCTTAAATCGTAACTATCTCCTTTTCTACTTCAAACAAGTTTAGAATAACTCGTTTTTCTGGGAGAGATCATGGATTTCCACATTTCTTCGGAAAATATTAAAATCATTAAACTCGTGCGATCAAACATCATCCCACAAGAGTCAATAAGGCATATGAGAACACATGTCAAGTCGTTGATAATTGAGGCGAAACAAGAAAACCCCGAGAATGATTTTATGGATGGTGCCATCAAAGTCGTTGCGTTGATCGACACGTGTATCCAAGAATTGGCAAAATTTGACATCAATTACCTCCAGGGACCAAAAATTGGGCGAGCACTTGTGCACGATCAAGTTAATGGTGAGTCGGCGTTCGTGGATATCAAGGGTGAGAAGGATGAGGATGATGTTAGGAAGAGGGTGGCAAAGAAAAAGAACAAAAATAAATACACAAGAAGCGGTGATAATGAACGGATGTCTAAAGAGGAATTGATGAATACACCGGCGAGAACAAGTACTCATACAATTGTTCCAAGGAATGTTATCGTGAACATAGATTTCGATGATGAAATTCCGGAGGAGGTTAAACATGCAGCGGAATTCGTTGACCCCTTTTCTTCCACAATTGATTCCAGCGGTCTAAACTGTAATGATGATGTCGCGAGTAAAGATGCGGATGAACCTTTTATAAATCCTTTCGAAAAGATTTATGGTGATTCTACCACGCCAGAAGATCGGTAAGCTCTTTCTTTCGGTGAGGCGCTATTCCTCCTGCAACTGTATTAAAGTTTCTAAGAAATTTTTAAAAACCAGCACGAGTTGACGATAACACGGATGCAGTCGACCTCCAAAGATACTAACATGAACACCCTTGACTAGTGTGCAAGAGTGAACAATTCTTAAAAACGGTCAGATAAAGGAAGGAAACCATTAATCAATGATATTTCAAAGCCCCCGATTGGTATAGTCTCCTTTATAATGAGGCATGTGATGTTTGAAGCATTAAGAAAAAAAAAATTTTTTTAAATTATAAAAAATGGTTATCACTATCAAAAAATTGCATGGGAACTGGCATCATCAGGTGAGTTGTTATTTTGAAAATATATTACCATTGTTAATATTCTGCAGAATAATTTAATCAAATCGGCTTGAAATATGCTCGAAAATAAATGAAGTCTTGTTAAAGTTATTGGAAAATGGATCTTGTCTTCGGATAATAGTAAGTAAATTGCGTCTTTGATAATGGAAATAAATTCAAATCTTTCCGCCCGTTAGTCTGCCTTGGATGTTCGAATTAAACTTAAATCGCTTGGAGCTCTTCCTTTGTCGTCCTCATAGAATTGGTTGGTGAGGAATATTAATAACATCACGTCTCAATGATCGATGAGTCTTATTACTCGATTTTGGAATCATCTTTTATTTACAACAAGATGTCCTTCCAACTATGACCACCTATTAATTCGAATCTCTTCGAGCAACAAACATATCATTTCCATAATAACGACAACTTTCCGAAGGTATCTGCACGAGGGGAAAAGCAAAACTTTTATGGATGTAAAAAATGTCGAGATCCCTTCTTCTGTTTTTTTTTTTTTTTTTTTTTTGTTCGACATTCTTGCTCTCGACGCAGTTTGATATACGCATTCGTTGTCCATGTTCTTGTATCATCTTCGGTTTTAATGTATTACGTATTCAAATCATTAAAACGATTATGATAATTGGACGACAAATCCCCCGCGCTTTCTGATTTACTCTCCGATACATGCTCCCCTCTAAAAACGACAAGATGTGAAATCCACAGTAAAAATGGAACAATAATCACCAAGTGTAACAATTTAGTGGAGCAAACACAACACGCACGCATTCACAATATTGTTATTAACCCTGTCCGTTGCCAAAAATAATTAGCATAATCCTATGGAAGAAACGAGTAGGACAAAGAAATATAGAGTTGCTCCTAGTTGATCCGTCACCTATATAAAACCTTTAAATCTACCATTTGCGTTCCTAAAACGCAAGATGAGAAAGATGAGATCCGAATTTATACTTAAATAAATGCTTTTAATTTATACGAATATATTATATAATGTTATTGTGTTGTGATAACATTTGAGACTGTTAATTAATGGCTCTCTAGGTTTGCAAAAGCAAGCATCGCTTGTTTGTTTTAGTACAAAACGTCTCCAAAGTATTCGCCCATCAAAATTGATAAACATGCTCTTTGTAACTCACTTAGATTATTGAATTCCTGAATTGGCTTTCCTCTCTTTCTCCTCAATTCCCCGAACTTCTGATCTGTTTTCTTTATCATCATATATAGGTCCCCTATCTTTCTCCAATTGATAGATTCCTCCAGTAACTTCTCTAATGATTTACATTTTATCTTGCTTCCATACAACCTTCTATACATAATTTTAATACAACATGTATTCACAATCGTTTTATCCATTACCAAGTGTCTCAATTTCCACAAAAAGTTTTCCGTCTCCCTGCTCCTCATTTGCGCCTTTTCGTCGTCTTCACCTTGATGCTGTGAACTCCACACCTTGACATCATACATGACTCGACTGAAATCTTTAATGTATGGTGACTCCTTGGCAGTAGCAACCTCGGGGGTAACATCTATCCTTGGAGAATTCGGTAAATTCACTCCGATCCAGGTTGCTTTGTCTTTAGGGCACATTAAGACTTCAAATGAATTCCACGTGTCAATAATGAACTCTTCAAATGTGGTATCCGAGGTTCTTGCAAAACTCTCCCAGTCTAAAGACTGAGAATAGACTTGCTGGTATGACTCGAGAATTTGATTTTGGCTCATGAAACCGCATTGCAAGTGCTCCAAGACTAAACCAAAGGGAAAGCATGTTGAGTAATATTATTTTTCGAGATCAATCATGATTAATATGGTTACAAACTCACTTACACATGTTCACAATATTTTTTTCAATATTAAATAACTCGCGGATGTCTTCTTCACCATAAAAGTTTGTCTCCTCGTCGTCAGATAATAAATCTATTTGAGCCGATCTTCCTTGACCTAGCTTGTATCTGTCAAACATTTGGGTCCTTATGGTATCGACGAAAGATTCTTTTTCGACCGATGAATTTATTTATGTTGTTTTCCCCTCAATCAATTATACTTTATGTCCATAGCGATACTGAAATTTTTCATGATGAGTCATTACTAAGTATGCTTACGATTATACATCTCTTCATTATAATTCTGATGGCACCTGGCATATTTTATTATGCTGTATACTGTATGTGCACTTGGTTTACATTATCGATCAACAATTCTTAACTATCTCTCATTACTTTTCTCTCTCGATCCCAATGATATAGTGAATTTATTATTGCCTAGTGATTTCTGACCAGTGATCGACCAGCCCTTTCCAAGTGTAAACCCTCGAGACCAAAACCTGCACTCAGAGAAAATCAACTATATACTAGGAAAACGGAAACCGTTATTAAATCCGGAGCTTTAGACAGGAAAACAAAATATAATCGAGTTTAAAATTGCGACTCAATTTTTAAGTGGGCGGCGGGGAAATTTTCAAGTATAAAATTCATTTTATCATAGAATATAAATTAATAGAAAGAAAACTTTTTGCAATCAAGTTTGCGCCTTGTATAAATTTGAATGAAACGTTGAGATGTTATTTTTACAAATATTTTCTTAAAATGTTATTATACAGTATATACAATATATATTGTTATTATTTTTTTTTTTTTAAGTACCTGCAGCCAGGTTAAATTGTAATTTATTAATCAATTGAAAACATAAGTACATTTTCACTCGAGCAGCATGATATATACTATAGCTAAATATTAATGTCAAATTTAACTAACTCATCATCAACAATAATACCTTCTAAATTTGGTCTTGGGAACAATATTTTACTTCATAGTAATCTTTGGATAAATACTTTCCTAGTTCATCACTTCATTGCTATCACATTGTCACTGCTGAATATCTTATCAAGCTATTGGAATACAAGAAATTACAAAAGGAATAGGTTGAAAAAAAGAAAAAGGGCTAATCTTCAGTTTACGGGGTACGATAATCACCGTGATATCTAAGAGGGAAATGTGATTATCTCGAAAAATCAT